CCATCGGCTCCCTGGCGCCTCGCTCGCCCCCTCTGCTCTCCTTTGCTTCTTCTGCTTAGCCCCGCCGCGCCAAGGCCCCCAGACCTCGTGCGCTCATCTACGCTGTGCTGGACACCGGGTCCCCCAGGCCACCGCTGCCGCCCCTCCCCCGGGACTCGAAGGAATCCGGACTTTGCCCACGGTGGAGCGAGCCGACTGCCGGGCTAAGGCTGAGCGGATTCTGCGGTCGCTCCGGACGCCGCCCGGACCGGAGCGCGGACATTCTGGGTCCCGGCTGAGTGCACCCCGGACGCCTGGCAGTGCCAGCTCGGGAAGGGCAAGGCAAGCCAGGGGCAGGACAGACCCCAGAGGGGCCCAGACACGCCGAACTGGACTGGACAGAGAGAATCGCGAACCCTGCGGAGCCCGGGGAATGCCGGGCGTGGGCTGAGGGGATCCCGGCGCCCTCCCCAGCCTTCCGACTTTGGTTCAGTCGCCCGGACCGGACCGGCGTCGCTTCGGCCCGGGTCACCTGTGGCCTCGGGGCCCCTGAGCCCTCCGGACCCTCGCGACCCGGAGCCTGGCGGGCGTGGTGGGAGATTTTTCCTGCCCCCTTCCCCGGTGCGCGGAGGCCCCGCCCCCTCCCACCGCCCAGATGTCTCCGGTCACCGCTCGGAGGACCTTCCTGAGGCCAAGAGCCGAAGGGTCCAGAGAGAGAAGCCCGCCCTAGGGGAGCCTTGGGGTCCCCCCAACCTCGTCTTGGGGCTCGGCCCCCGACGCTGCTTGGAGGAAAAGCCGGTGCCCCCACCCTCTGTGAGTAGGGGAGTCCAGCTTCGGAGGGAAGGCGGGGCTGGGGGAGGAAGGGTCCGCTGGGAAGGAGGGCTCCCTGTGGGTATTGGAAGAAGGATGGAGGACTGGAGAGGCCCTGTGCTGAACCAATCTGGCCAAGCTTGGTTGGTGGCGGGGGGGGGGAGTGCGGGGGGGCGCACAGCTAGAGTGCCCCAGAGGAGGCTGAGGACTTATGCCTCTAAACCAGGGGCTCCTCCACTCTCCCTATAGAAGAAGGGTGTGCTGAAAACCATCTGCCTCCACCACCCCTCCCCACAAACAAAAATAAATAAATAAATCTCCAGTGAGGAAGGAGGGTGCAGGCCGGGAGAAGAGGGAGGCAGCAGCAGCAGCAGGCTGGTGCAGCAGCCTGGGAGGGCTGACGCCAGGCTCGCTCTTTCTGCAGGGGGCTGCCCTCCTCCAATCCAGGTCCCTCTCCAGCGCTGTTCACATCTGGAGGCCCCTCCACATCTGGAAGACCCTGACCACCGTCCCTATGCAGGTTCGGCTGCTTCTAGAGACCTCTGCCTTTGTAACTGCCTAGGAGTTGCGAGGGGATTGCTGCCTTCCCCCATCCCAAGGGCATCTCTTACCCGAGTCCTTGCAGAATCATCCCCCTGCCTCCACACCCAGATTCAGGCAAAGATCAGCTCTGTACACCACAGGCACTTCAAGTGCTGGAAGCTGTTCTTGGGCCCTAAGGCCCCTCCCCTTGCCCTCCTGTGTCCTCACCTTGACCCCCCCAACGCCCCCCCCCGTCAGACTCTGTCTCCCTCTGGGTGCTCCATCCCCCACCCAGAGGCAGAGTAGGTCGAGTGGCAGGCTGCAGGGGCTGGGTGAGGGCCGCCCAAGGCCAGGGTAGGCTGGGGGGCCGTTAAAATGTGGAGCTCTGCCCGGCCGAGGGGGGCTCCGTGGAGGCAGGCAAAGCGTGTGCCCCGCTGGGGCGAGTATGGGCAGGCTTGCGGCCACGTGGTGAAGGATGAACATTCGGGGTGCCCCGGACCTCGGGCAGCCCAGTGACGACCCCAACAGTGGTGGAGAGAGAGAACGGATTCGACAGCGCATGAAGATGGTCATCGGGCAACTTGAAGGCATCCTGAGGGAACTCAAAGAAGTGGCTAAGGAGCTGAGGGAGGTGAGTGAGAGGCCAGCAGGGGCCACACAAAACCCTAGCCCTGCCTGGCTGGGCTCAGCATCAAAACATCTATGTGTGTTTGAGTGTGCAAGGCTATGAGCACATGGCCCGCTCCGCAGAGGATCACCCTTCTCATTCTCTCTCCTCGGGTCTGTTTTACTAAAAAAAAAATCACTATCCCCAGAGCTGCTGGGGCCTTGGTGTGGTGGTGATTGCTTAAGCAGGTGCCAGTGGGCCCAGCTCTATAGTTAACCCTCAGGGTGCCCAGTGAGGATTAAATCTGCCCCACTCCATTCTGAATGGGACACATTCTTCTGAAACCCAAGCTGTCCCTTGACCCCCACTGTTTACCCACCAGACTCTGAGCAAGGACTCTAGAAAAGTGTGGGTGGTCTCTTACTTAACCAGTCCCCACTGCTTGAGGCCCAGCTCAAAAAAGTATCACTTCCAAACCTTTCATTTCCAAAAGGGGAGAGGGGTTTAAACCGGTTGTGGCCTCCCTGTCGGAGTAAAAATGTGGCTGGGAGCTCCTGGTGGGGATCGGAGGTCCTTCTGTACGTTGAAGAAGAGATGGGTCTTTTTAAGGATATGTGCCCCCCCCCCCCCCCCGCCTCACAGGGCATGCTTCTGGAGGGTTTTTGCAAAGACCAAAAAGTCACCGAGAAACCCTCTCTGGCTTTCTAATCGGAGCCCAGTTTAATTACAGCTTCCCACATTGCTGGAGTAATGAGGTACACATGTCTTCCACCCTGCCCCCTGGGCTGTGTTCAAGTCCAAAATGCATGACCAGCGTTCTGAGCCGCTGGCCTGAATTTGCCCGCTGGGTCCCATTTCACCAGCCAGGTGGGCTTTAGGCAACTTCCAACTCCTTGTAACCAGGGCCCCTGCAGAGAGAGAGGGAGAATGGATCATTCTGAGTTAGGAACCCAAGCTCCCCTCCCAGCTGTGTAGTGGGGGGAGGGGCCTGTAGGAGAGACTGGGGAGATGGGCAGGCTGTGAACAATGTGGCTTTCCAGCCTGGCCTGAATTAAGGCAGGGAGAGGGGTTGTTTGAAGGGAGCTGTGAATTGGAGGGTGACAGAGATCTCAGGCCTGTTAGAGTAGTGTGGGTGGGGATCCAAGGTCTGCTACATGAAAGCTGCCAGGAGATCCTGTCCTCAGAGGTGGGGATGAGAGGCACTTCCGGCAGGCAGAGCTGGTGGAGCTTCTGCCCATACGCTGGGCTGCTATGGTCTGGACTCCATAATACAGTTTGGAAGCCAAAGGCCACAGGTCCCTGAACAACCCTTCCTCTGGCCTCATGAGTCCAAAGGATTAGGTATCCTCTCCTCCTCTGTCTTAATTCTGGATGCTCTATGGTTTTATTAGGGCCACAAGAACTGTCTAAAGTCTCAGCCTCAGGCAGGGACATGGGCCCCCAACCAGAGCTGCTATTGTCTATAATCCTGGGAGTCAGCTTTGGTACAACTCCCAGTGGGGCAGACCCCTGCCTCTTCTCCCTCAGCATAATCATCCAGAACTTGAAGAGATCTCACAGGTAGTCCAGGCAGACACTATCCACTTACTATGGAAGAGACTGGGGTCCGAAGAGAAATAGGGGCTTGCCCAAGGCTCCATAACTCACCCATGACAGAATTGAGCCTAGAATTCAAGATTCCCAATGCCTATTTGAAGCTTCAGCAGGTGGGCTATTGTGTAACCTTAGCGTTTTGACAGTAGCTTCCAAGAGATGCTTGATGCTTGTGATGTGGTGCCCAAGTGCCAGGTTGGTTTGTGGAGCTTTTAAATGCCCCCAATCTTCCCTTTTATACTCACTGATTCCCATGTCCCTCGCCCCAGAGCTCCAGTTGATAGTCTGCACACACCAGAGGTCTGAACCAGGATTGAGTGACGAGTCCCCTCCCCCACATCTGTAGGCCATGTGTCTCCACCCAAGACTTTGGCAGGTTGCTATGGAAACCAGAGTCTACCCCGTATGCCACTGTCTGCCCGCTGCCAATGGTACCCAGCTGGGTGGGGGGTTGAGCCTCAGAGCTCCCTAGTCCCCCATAAAGGGGATGTGTACGCAGGGTAATGGGCGGAGAGGAAGGGAGACCCAAGCAGAAGAATTGTCATAGCCAACTTTCTGTGGGCTGAGGTTGGTTGGGGACAGGAGTTCCTGTGGATCTCGGGTCCCGGTTTTAAACTTTGGATGTCGCTCTAGGTCCCTCGGGAGAACGTAAAGCTGGTCTGCGTGGCTCCATTCAGGCCCTTTGTGGTGTTTCTCTATCAGGGCTATGTGTAGGCCCATGGTAAAGTGAACAAGCCCCTATTCCCTCATCACACGTGACTCCCTGGGCAGCACTTGCTCATTGCCACCAGCTCAGACCAAATACTTGAGTGTGGAGACAAGAGTTAGACATGGAGTTGGCAGGGGCACTGCATGGGAGCCTTGTGGAAGGAGCTAGGCAGCAAAGAGCCGGCTCCGCCATTCTCTGGCCTCCCTTCACCATCCTCCTGTCTCTACCTCCTCTTCCTGACTGACACCTCTGACCCCAGAAGACACCCCCAAACACACACACACACACACACACACACACACACACACACACACACACACACACACTCCTGAGCACAAAGCCCGCTCCCTGAGCCTCCATTTGCTCCTCTCTGAATGGGGCTACTGATGACTTGTCCCTCCCAGGGATGCTGTAAGGTTGTTGGAGGCTTTGCCTGAAGGGGGAGGGCCGATACTAGATCACACTTCCAGAGGATTTGGAGTTCCCTCTCCCCATCCTCCCAACCCTCACTACAGCTCCCTGGGTTGGTGTAGGGGACTAAGTAAGGTGAAGAATGCAAAAGCACTTTGAAAGCTGAAACTGAACTGCCCAGAAATGTGACATGACAGCCAGACATTAATTAGCCCTTTCTCCCAGGTTCCCCAATACGCCAGGATGCCAGGCCAAACCCAGCAGGCTCCCTAAGCTCCCCAGATTCCATGGATCTCAGTTAGAGACATAGACCATTCCAACGGACAAGGAGCACATGCCAGGCAGCCAGAGATTTCTAGTTCTTAGTTCAGCTGCCCCCTGAACTGTGTGAATCTAGGAAAGTGACTTTGCTTCTCTGTGCTTCTGTTGGCCCAGTCTGTAAGAGGAAGATACCAACTCCTCCTGTGCTCCCTTCTATACACAAAGCCAGCTCCATATCCTTTTTGTTCTGTTTTTCCTTTGCAGTGGTAGGTATCAAACCGAGGTCCTAATACATGTGAGGCAAATGTTCTCTGTAGAGCCAGGGCTCGGCCACCCACGAGGTATTGTTACTGAATGAGTCTAGCACTTGCCTGCACAGCCTTGAGTCGCATAAGGTTTTTAGCCAAAAGCAGGGAGATCAGGGCCAGGTCCTGGCTGTCTGGTAGGGGCCTCTAATAGGTCACTTGCAGAAGGTGGTCCCATCCCCTACCCAGTGAGGAAAGGACAGTGACAGGGATGGAGGTACAAAGGGGCGCCTATAACGTGCATGGAAATGAGGGACAAGGTCAGCAGACGTCTAGGGGAAGAGCATTGCAGGCGGTGGGAGCTGTGACACCTGGGTCTTGAGGAGGGAGTGTGCCCGATCATCAGGAAGCCAGTGGAAAGTGGAGCGGAGAGGGGCAGGGGTCTGGGCCTGGGGCAAGGGAGGGTATCCTGTGGAGCCTGTGAATCAGAGTGTGGAACTCAAGTTTGCTGTCGGTGGAAGGCCACACGCCGCTTTTAATATATCTTGGTTATGTTTCTGGGTGAGACTCTGCCTTCCTGTTCCCTCTGCTGCCCACAGACTCAAAGCTCCCACAGGCAGGGTGAAGGGGTCCTCATCCCTGGCCCATCAGATTTTGAGCTCACCTTGAACATGTACTTGTTTCTTCCTGGTCCGTGGGGGTTCAAAAGTGATCCTTTATTGACCACCTGTACCCCCACATCATCAGTGAGTCTTGAGTAGGACCTGACTTCAGGGTACTGTCATCTCTGTGTCCCCAAAACCTCAGGAGAACAGGGTAGGTACAGCCTCTCCTCGACCTGAGGTGGCGGTGGAGGTGGCGGTCCCACCACCTGGTTGGCATAGGAAGTAGGCTCTGTGGCAGCCTGTTTCCCGCTGTCCATCAGCCAGGTGCCATGTGTCAAAGTGGCAGGAAAAGCCACAGACTTTGCTAGTAAGAGATAAATAAATGTGGCCTAAAAGAGCTGGAGCAGGGAAAACTGGGGACCACAGGGCTGTGCCAAAGTGGGTCAGCTCAATACCCGCAGCTCAGTACAACTTGGGTGGATTTTTTTTTCCTTATTGTTTTTTTTTTTTTCATGCCTCCTTTTCCTCCCTTTTTCCTTTGCCTTCTCCTCCTCTGGACAGATTCACAGAGGCTCCCTGGCCAATTAGGCCAAATTGCAGGATGAGAGCCATGAATCATGGTCAGCTCACCCCCCATCTCCCCAATGCCACAGCCCCCCAGGAAGATAATAAACAATGTAATCACAGAATTAAAAAATAATCAGTGGTCATAAATAATGCAGAATCCCCACTTATGTAACCAGCTGCCCAGGGAGCTGGGGAAGAGTGGGGACTCTGGGTCTGGGACTCTTGGTCCCTCAGCACTGGCTGCTGGGGCCTCAGTGGATGTGCACCCACACAAGCACGCACGCACGCGCACACACACACACACACACACACACACACACACACACACACATATGCACACACACAAGCATGCATGCATACATGCACATGCACATAAGCATGCACCCATGCATTCATCTGAAAGGGAGTTCAGCCAGGTGTACTGGTGGTCCAGGTCTGTAACAAAGAGGCCTCCCAGCCTTCTTTCCCATGGACTACAGCTGTGTTTATAGAATGGGCCAGTGTCTGTGGCAAGCCAGGGGCACAGTGGTGGGTGGAACAGAGCCAACCTTGCCCTCTCTTGGGCCTACTGTCTAGTAGGCAGGCAGACATCAGCCACATCACAACATACATGCGTAAAAGTATAGCTGTGACCACCATCGCCCTCCGCTGGGGACCAGCAGGCTTCTTCCAGGAAGTGAGGATGGATGGATGGTGGGAGGGAGGGCATGCCAGGTGAGCCCCAGTGGCAGCTGGGGCTCCAGCTCTGTCAAATGTGCAGAGAGATGAGGGGGAGGCCACTTGCTGGAGGGGAAAGGGGGTGGTGTTGGGAAGGCTCAGAAGTTTGGGGAACAGGGAAGGGCTGGAGGCAGAGGGGTGGTGTGGTCCTGATGCTGATCAGGAAATCTAATGCAGAGCCATGGATCAGCGCTGGCAGGAAGTTACTGTTGGTGGGCGAGGCTGAGATCAAGACACAGGCTGGGGACACCCTTGAGAGAGGGGCTCAGTCCTGTCTCAGCGCTGCCCTCCCTCCCAAGCACTCACTCTTGGCCTCTCCGGAACAGATGAGTATAGTTTGTAAGACGCCAGACCCAGGAGTCAGACTCCACTTTCTGGCTTTAACTCAGCTCTTTCCAGGTGCTGGGCCTCAGTTTCCCTGTCAGCAAGGGCAATAGCACAGGTAGATTCAGCAGTCTCTCTCTAGACCCCCAGTCTAGAGATTTTTCTGGTTCTTTCTCCCCCTCTTTCCTTCTGTGTATATAATTATTTCTCTGCACTCCAAGACAATCCCAAATTACATGTAGGCAAAATGATTATTAAATCTCGGAGAGAAATCACAGATTTCAAGACAGCCTGAGCAGAGAGGCAGGTAGCTCAGGCCTACTCCATACTTGCTCTCCACATTGACCTGGGAAACAAGACACCAGGGAAGGATTAGTGGGTTTGTGAGCTAATCATGGCCCTACACAGAAGCTGGGCACCGCGGGCATATGGCTTCCCTTTCTCACCCTCACTTCTGGCATTTATCAGATCTGCCTGTGAGCTCACAGCCATAGGCCTCATGGAGCTCTTCTAGTTGTGTTCTGAATGGACACACCCACACTTCAGGCAACATGGGCAGTACCGGCACATGGGGCCATGGAAGGCACACCTACCATATCCTGGCATTTTGAACAGGCATTGAAACCTGCTCATCAGGGTGGCATTTCTTAGATGAAGCCTGACTCCCATCTGCTCTTGGGCCTGGGTTCGTGCTCATGCTCACTGGTGCAAGGTGGATGTTGCTGTTTTACATTGTTCTGCATGCTTTCCCGGGGGCATTAGGTTAAGTCCTCACATTGGCTCTCAAGCAGAGAGAATTCTGTTAGAATTCTCTGATGAAGAAACAGAGGCTAAAAGCAGAGTGATTTGATTAAGGTTGCGCAGCTCGTAAGTACTGAAGTCAGGGTTGGCTTCAGAGTCTAGGTACTGACAGGTTTGCCTGTCCTGACACTAGAGTTTAAAATATGGTGATATCTCATCCATCTTCATCTCCCTGAGCAAGGAGAGGAGTGTCAGAGTTAGAGACCACAACTTAGAAGTGGATTAACACCTGCCTTCAGTTCTCCTGCCAAGAGGGGGCAGACGTGAGACCTGAAGACCACATCCCTCTCTCCCTCCCTCCATACCCCGTGCAAAACCAAAAGAGGATGCTAATGAAGAAGAGAAGGGAGCCAATGAGAAGGCCTCTAGAACAGGTGGCCAGCCAGGGCTTTCTCAGTGAAAGGAGCACGTCTGGGCTCCCAGGCTTCTAGGCTCCTGTTGGGCCTACCTGGGATATCCCTGCTCTCTATCCCTCAGGCCTGGGGCCTGATGGTGCTCATTCCTGCCGAGCTTCAAGAAGCCGGACTTCTCTGCTCAGCCTGGCCTCAGCTGAGTCTGTGGGATCTCAGCCAAGCCTTTCAACTCCAGCTTCCTCCTCCTGGCACCCCCAGCCTCGGGCTGCAGCAGCTGGTGACAGCTCTCACTGATCAGGGAGTCCCCTCTGAGCCTGTGACTGCCTGGATGGCAGAGCCACTCCCGAGGCTGCCCCAGCACCCAGGCGGCCACCAGGCCAGTGCCTTTCAAAACAAGAGGCAGCCACTGGGAGCATTGTGATCTCATGGGTGGAGAGTGGAAAACCTGGCGCGTAGTAGGTGAGCCAAGGTATGAAATGATGTCACTTGGATCCCAGGGTCCCTCTGAGCCCTCCCACCGACCTCACTGGTCCCTACAAAGCTCTGCTGACTTTGGCTGGACACTTGATGGCAAATGATTTTGAGTTCCAGCAAGTGTATGTGACTTGCCCAAAGTCTGTCTCCCCCCACCCCACCCCACCCCACCCCATGTCCTAACCCCTCCAATTTGCTGCAGGCCTCTCAGCAGAGAAGTTCTTCTATCCCTGGCATCCGCCACCTAAACACCTTCTCGTACTGACTCTTAAAGACACAGATTCCTAGAATCTCCCTTAGAGGTAAGCTCGTTCACCCACTTCGACTGAGAAACAGACCTTAAGAGGAATAGGGACAGTCAGGTCACTTGCAGCTAGAGCCCACCTCCCACTGACCCAGATGTTGCAGGCAGTGTCCTTCTGCTTTACCTGGGGGCAGTTGCCACCTGCCCCTCACCATGCATGGAACAGCGTCGTCCCATGGTAGCAGTTCCCAGTAATGAGGACTGGGTTAGGGCTTGCTTAGTTAACTTCCTAACCGACCACCCTGAGCCCAGGCAGATAATGCCAGCCAGATGCTGGGAGCTAGATACAGTTCCTGAGGTCTTTGTCCCCGAGTCTCTGTGACTCAGACACTTGTTCCCTCCACTGGTTTTTTATTGCTTTATGTTTGAGTCTTGGCCTGACTCTGCTCTCTTCATCCTCCTCATGCTCTGTCCTGTCCCTAGGCCTTTGCCTAATCTGCGCGCCCCCACCCCCCTCAATGCATTCTACCCTGATGTATGTGCTGGCAGCCGCACAGGCAAGTGTGTATCTGCCTGCAGGGCTGCCTGCTCAGAGGCCAAGGGCTTCCCTCTGGGTTGTTGGGAGATGGGCAGGCAGAACAGGGTACAGTGACCTCCACAGATGAGCTGCCCCATGAGCGACTTTAACAATCATCCCTGGGCCGGGATGGATGGTCTCTTTATTGCTTCCCGAAGAATGCTGGCTTTATTCCTTTTCCCAACAAGCTGAGATTGATCTCCACTCATCAGTGGGCAGGGAAGGTAAGGAGGGAGGAGGTTCTGGATCGTGAGGGTTAGAAGAGGAGGGTGACTCAGCCAGTGCCACACACTTGTTGTTCCAGTCCCCCGGGGTTGGAAAGAGATCCCTGAGTGAGTCACTAGCTGGTGGGTCCAGGATGCTTTAGTAAGACTGGGCAGAGTCGTCTTTGTGACGACTCCGTCATTTCTCTCCACTGACTTCAAGTCCAGCTACCACGTTCTAGGGTCAGCCGGCGGGAGGTCTCCAGGGCTAGCTGGAGTCCCTCAACCCCTCCTATCTGACCCCCACCCCCACCCCCGTCTCCCTCAGTACAAGCTTGAGGCCTGTCCACTACACTGTCCCCATTCCAGATAGCAGCTGTACTCGAGAGAAAAGGATGTGCGAATGGACGGGGGCCTGGTGGAAAGCAGTACCCCTCCCTCCCGTGGACAGCACAAGCTGCCCATCCTTGTCCAACTTGGCCTTGTGTATGCTTGAGACTGAGTCTCTCACTGGCCTGGAACTTGCCAAGCAGGCTTGGCTGGCTGGCCAGCAAGCCCCAGGGAGGCTCCTGTTTCCACTTCCCCGGGGCTAGGATTATAAGCATGCACCACCATGCCCAGCTTTTGTTGTTGTTTTTTCAAAAGATGGGTTCTAGGAATCAAACCCAAATCCTCATGCTTGTAAGGCAAAGCTCTTTACCAACTGAGCTGCCTTCTTGGCCCCAGTGTGGGCTCTTCGCAGCCAAACCCGTGACTTCAGTTCAGCCACCATCTTCCAGAGTCACCTGCCAGGAGGTGCCCAAGGGCAGGGCAGAGGCACACACACAGACCTAGCCCCTCTCATCTCCTCTCCCTTCCCTGGCCAGGTGGTGAGTCAGATCGACAAGCTAACCTCTGACTTTGACTTTGAACTGGAGCCGGACGACTGGACCACGGCCACTGTGAGCAGCACCTCCAGCAGTGACAAGGCGGGGGTGGGCGGCCCCTTTGACCTGGGCCACCTGGACTTCATGACAGCCGATATCCTCTCAGACAGCTGGGAGTTCTGTTCCTTCCTGGACGTCTCTACCCCGTCAGACTCTGTGGATGGCCCCGAGGCACCACGGCCAGGCGCAGGCCCTGACTACCAGCTCATGAATGGTGGTCTGCCCATCCCCAATGGGCCACGAGTGGAGACGCCAGACTCCTCCAGCGAAGAGGCCTTCGGCGCTGGCCCTGCAAAGGGTCAGGTGCCCCAGCGGACCCCAGGGACGAGGGAGAGGGTACGGTTCAGTGACAAAGTGCTCTACCATGCTCTGTGCTGTGATGATGAAGAGGGGGATGGTGAGGAGGAGGAGGTAGAGGAGGAGGCAGGCCTGGCCCCAGAGCTGGCCCATGTGGAGCCACACACAGGCCCCCTCAAGCCCTCCCCAGCCCCCCACAAGACCAGGCGCTCTCCGTTGACCACCCGACGCTTGGGCCCCACGTTGGCTCCAGAACAGACCCGGAGGGTCACAAGGAACAGCAGCACCCAGACAGTGTCAGACAAGGGCACACAGACAGTGCTACCTTATACGGCCACCAAACAGAAAGCCAAGGGCAAGAACTAGGGGCTGGGGAGGGGGGAATGCATAGAGCTATAAATATATATATATATATTTAAACAAACACAGTCATAATAAAATTCATAAATACTAAGGATCCGGGCCCACAGGCCCCAAAGCCTTCAAGAAAGCTCATCCTAAAACAATCAGAGGCCCAGGATTCCCCCTCCCTTCCATATGGCAGGGTTCCTGAAGGGAGCTGAACCCTACCATTCCCACTACAAGTCCCCAGCACCATAGAGTCTGTGAGTGCTGGCCTGGGCCATGTCCTAGAGGGAACTCGGCAGCTGGAGGCAAGCTAAAGGAAGCTCACCTGGAAGACTAGGAACTTAGAACACAGGGTTGGCGCCACTGTGGCTAGACACAGAAGCCCCTCTGTCCTCCTGGGCGGAGCTACGTGGACAGACAGCCCCACCTCACGCTCGCCCCCACCCCCCACCCTGCATCTTAGGGTTGCCCCAAACACTGAGAAGGGCACCCTGCCCTCAGGCACACTGCACTACCAGGAGCCTGGTAGCCGCGGAGCAAATCCAAAAATCCAATCCACTCCCGATTCTTTCAGCTCCCATTCTTAGCTCTGGAGTTCAGAATTCTCAGATCTTGGCCCTGAGCAGATCCCAGGTGTGTGGATAGTTGATAGCAGCCATCAGAGTGCTGGGAACCAAGACCCAGATGTGCTGGACCATCCGCACTAGGCAGGCAGAGGGGAGGAGGAAATCCACTGCCTTCCCCTGGCTCCGACTTCTTCATGCCCAACCGCTTAGCTCACCTTAATAAGTCCTGAACGGCAGCAACAGCTTCATCTGCAGTGTGACCTCCCAACAACTGCATTCAAATGTCTTGAGGGTGATAATGTAAGGCACTGGTCACATTTATTGAGCAGGCCACTGTGCTGAATGGCACCATATGACATTATCTTCTTGCCCCATTTTTCAGATGAGAAGACTGAGGTTCAGAGAGGTGAAGTAAGTGGCCCAAGGTCACCAAGCTTCTGCTTTCCTGTCCCCAAGAACAAGTACTTTACAGGCTATGCCTGGCCCTGTCATATAGCAGCCATATCACCTTGGGCAAATCCATTTGCCTCTTTGAACCTTTCGACTCCAGCTGTAAAATGGGTCTGATAGTCTGGACCACCTCAGCTGCAGTCACAGGGATTCAGCAAGTGGAGAGTGTACACACTCGAGATCAATTGGAGGCACTGAATGCCTACTGTGGTCAGTGTGGGTCACCCCACATCTCTAGTGACTTCCAGCCTAGAGGGGCTGAGTAGAAGCCTTTCACACCCGGTCAAAAGCCATCCTGAGTCAGAAGGATCACATGGCTTTGCCCCTCCAAACAGCTTGAGGCCATAAGATGGCCACAGTGTGACTCATTACTCTGCCTGGAGCAGACAGGTAAGGTCGGTGAACCAGTGAGAACATCAGTCCTGAGGCCTTCCTGGGGTACATTTCTATTCATGCAGAACCATAACCCACCAGGAGGGGCCTTAGGATCTGCTGGTACCTGCTGCCCCTGCTTGGGGAGGTGCTGTGTAACCCGAGTAGGGACTAGCAGGCTAGTCTAGGGCGGATACAAGGACATGACTGGAAATCTGGCAAACCTTCGGTATCACGGGATGAGACCTGTCCCAACTGTAGTGAGGTCAGAGCCCTACAAAGCCGGTGTGGTGCAGCCACCAGAGTAGAAGTCCAGTGATGGCCAGCTGGGGACCAGTGGGCCAGCAAGGCCCTGCCCTCCCTGAACAGTTCCCATTCTCTCTCTGAGGCTGGTTTTTCCCCATCAGTGGTGAGATTGTTTTTCTCATCTTTTCAACCATTATGGCAATGAAACCTACAGAGCGGTTCTCATTTCACAGGGGAAGAAATTCAAGCCCAGGGCCAGGGTCTCTGAGAGTCCCTATGAGGGATTTTTTTTTCTTCCTTCCTAAATCCCTCCTTTGAGCCAGGTTCATATGACTACCGTTAGGTCACAGATAACCTCAACCACTTGTGCCCAGGTGGGGCGTAGAGTGTGTGTCCTGGTTTTGAAGTAGATAGAAGTCCATCATGGTGAAGGCACAGAAAGCCCTTGGCCTATTCACCAGATCCAGACATCACTGACAGTGGGATAGGATCGCCAGGACTTCTCACGACTTGACACAGACCGTGTCCACCCAGGGAGAAAAGGCGTTCTGCCCATCAAAGCAGGTGCTCCTGCCCTTAGAGCACACAAAGCCATCCTGGGTTCCTCCTCCACCAGGTCAGCCATGCCTCCTGCTCCTCCCTGCCTCCAGGCCTCTGCTGGTGTCTGGCTTTTCTCAGGGGGAGTGCATCTGCTTCTGGGAAGTCAGACTCAGCTGCCACCTGCTGGGTGCACTTTCTTGTGCTGTAGGTGCTCTGGAGGAGGCAGGAGGGATCCAAGGTGGCCCTTGTAACAGAGAGGAAGCTAAGCAAAATAAATAGCTCCATTTAATGGGCACATACTATGCACTGGAATTGTGTAAGCATGTGCCTTATCTCATTCATTCCTCACATAAATTACAAGACATTTCATTTTAACTTGTGCCTATTTTCCATCTGGGGAAACTGAGGTTCTGAGAAATCAAGTCACTTACTAAAGGACATACAATATGAGTTAGGGAACCAGTTTTCGACCCTAAACTCAGCTTTTTAGCACTCAAATATGTGCTGGTGTAAGGATAGACAATTAGGTGGCCCAAGAACCAGGTGAGCCTTGGAGGGTAAAAAATGTGTGGGAAGAAGGAAGCTGGTGGACCTTCTGTATGGAGAGAACTTGGCTACTCTCAACCTGTGTGTCAGAGGCCCTGACTTAGTCTGAAACTGAATGGATTATAGATTTGTTAAATATTTGTCAAATGTATTAATGATCCCCCCCCTTGAGACAGGGACATCCACTGTGCATTCATTCAGTCAGCCAACATTGAAGACCTCCAGTACGCCAGATCTCACTTTGCTTGCATGTGCATGCATGCACAGACATACACATGCATACACTCCCACATGCACATAATCTCTCTCTCCTCTGGGAGAGTCTCTCCTGTGGGATACTATCTGGAAGCTGGACAGGAATGAAGAATATGAAGTTTCAGCCGTGACAAGTCAGAGGTGTTATGTCAGAAGCCAGGGGGCGCCACTTTGGTGAGGAAGCCACTTAAACATGTCCTCAGGGCTGGAGGCTCCTCAGGCTGACCACTTTGGTAGGATAGGCACACTACAGTGTCCTTGGGTGCCTGAGAATAAGGAAGATCCTTATCTCTGTTTTCCAGATGTGGGAACAAGGGGCCAACTATGTAGTAGACAAGAGGTGGTTTGATGCAACCAGAGGCAAAAAACTGGGCACACCATTCAAAGACAAGGACAGAGCCAGGCCATGTTAACAGGGGAAGGGGGTTGGGGTGGGAATCCAAGACGCAGCAAGCCCAGCCCTCCACACCCCCTCTTGAGTCCCCATTCTCTGTCCCTCCTCCACCTATCACCCATTTCTCCTTCTAAAACCGAGACTTGTGTAAGAAACCCGTCATTTATTGACAACCTGGTGCACGCCATGCCTTTTAACCAACACTAAATAACAGATTCAGCTGGGCCCTGTTCAGAACAGGTCGTTCAATACTTATTTATTGAGCAAATGGATTAACCACAACCGTCATTTTACAGGTCAGGCAGGGAAACAAGTGAACAAAGGCGGACTTTTTAGAGTTACAAAGCAGGATCTTGGTGTTACTAGAGTTTGTGAAACCTATGAGAACAAGTGTTTATGGCTCTTCCCTTGGAATGGGATCTCCCGGGGTACCCAGAAAGGGGGATGAGGGTCATTTGGGGCTGCTGGAACTTTAAAACAAAGATGGCTGGAGTGACCATATGCTAGGCAACAGAGTGAGGTCTTATTAAGGCAGAGAGTAGATGTTGGAGCAAAAATAAGGCAAAATGGAAAATCTGAGGGGCACTCTCTGTTAGGAACTTCAGACCCTGTGGCCCTCACCAGTCCACTCCATCCTCTTGGCAAGGGCTGAGGCAGAGAGGGAGAGCATCTGCCTAGTCTGAGATGAGAGCCTGTCTTTAAGACAAGTCAGTAAGTATCCAGTGGCCTATCATGATCGGGATTCATTCAATGCATAAATGAAAATAAGACAAGTCGGTAATGTGCCATCCAGCAGACTATCATGACAGGGATTCATTCAATGCATAAATGAAAATGTTACAGTTAGCACCTTGGTAATGTGGGTATACTAAAGCCCTTGAGAACCACTGTGTCCTACCGTCTGACCCCCACAGGCCAGCTAGACAGGATGCGGAGGGTGTGTCCTGATACACATGAGCCAGCTGGCATTTTCATGGGACCTGACTGCCCACCAGCCTGCCCTGCTCACCAGCCACCATTATACTGGTCCCTAGCAACCAACTGAGGTGCTTGGGGGGTGGGGTGGGGTGGGGCGGGGCGGCGGTCTTGGTTGACCTCAGGCCAACATGGCTTAAGGCCTGGGCCCCATGCTGATCGGATCTGACTCCCTGCCAGGAAGACTTAAGCTCACACACCTGCCTGAGGCCCTGCTGTCTCTCCCTCCTGTTTCTGCTGGCTGGGACAAGCAAGGGTCAGGAGCTCTGTGAAACAGGTTCACCACGTGACAGGGACTCACTCTGGGGCCTCTCTGCTGCCATCTCAGAAGTGCGACACAATCCCAAGCCCAAGGTGGCTGCTTCACCCATCTTCTCCCCAGAAGACGGCAGAGTGGGACCCACTGCAGGGTACAAACACCCATGGAGGAGGTTTGGAAAGAGGTCTGGGGCCCTGATGCCTTTTGGTTCTTTTTATTTCATTTCTTAAAAAAAGTTTTTATTAGCATATGTTAATTATACACAATAGTGGGTTTCATTATGACACTTTATACATATATAATGTATTTTGATTAATATATATATATATATATATATATAATGCATTAATTCCTCATTACCCTCTCTTGGCCCCTCCTCCTGCTGATCCCCGTACTCATCTCAACTAACCCTCCTTCTACTCTCATGCCCTTTTCTTTTTTCAAGATTTATTTATTTATTATGCATACAGTGTTCTGTCTGCATGTATGCCTGCAGGCCAGAAGAGGGCACTAGATCTCATCACAGATGGTTGTGAGCCACCATGTGGGTGCTGGGAATTGAACTCAGGACCTATGGAAGAGCAGCCAGTGCTCTTAACCTCTGAGCCATCTCTCCAGCCCCCTTTTCCCTTTTTCTTTCTTCGTGTGTGTGTGTGTGTGTGTGTGTGTGTGTGTGTGTGAGAGAGAGAGAGAGAGAGAGAGAGAGAGAGAGAGAGAGAGAGACTCGGTTTAATTAGGTCTGTTGACAGGAGCATGGGAAATTAACCAATGGCTACATCACTGGAAGAAAAATGTTTCTTCCTTGCCAACCATTAGCTACTTTTAGATCCTAAGGAAAGCCTGGGGCTCCATGAGCCCCTCTGGGAACCGCAACCTTCGTGGGGTTTTCCATACTCATCCTAGTCAGGAATGCTCCTGTGAGAATGGAGACATTTCCCAGGCAAGTGGTGGTAGGGAAGACTGAACCCACTGTGGAGAAGGTTGATCACGTGAGTCTGTCATTGATGGTACACCTGAAAATGACACCTGAGGGAGAGGGAGCGTTTACTTCAGCTTATGGTTTCTGAGTGATTCAGTCCATAGTCCCCACTGAGGCAGACAGGCAGGGAGCGTGTCATGGGTTGCTCACCTCAGGGCAGCTGGGGAGCAGAGATAAACAGGAAGGGACCACATACAAGATATACCATTCAAAAGCAACAAACACACACACACACACACACACACACACACACACACACAC